TGACTGTTTTAATGACTATGAATAGATAAGATAGTCTTTAATTGATTAATAAATAATATTTGCATGTTTTTTAAAAAAATATATATGAATAAATAATAAATAGTCTTTGATTAATTGATTAATTAATAATGATGATAATAATATTTAAAGCCTACTAAATTACTGACAATAATGATTAATCGATAATATTCGTTAAATTGTTTCATCGTTGTATGATTGTATAATAAAGAAACATCTTTTAAAAATCCAAAGAAAGCATGTTGAAAAAAAATCTCGAATTCCATTTATTATTATTATCGATGACTTGGAAAATCAAATATTTATAACAGTGGAAATTTCGTAAAATCATGCAAGTTTTATTATGATTTGAGATTTTGTAAAATTTATACACATATAATAAAACACGCTGTGTGGAAATAGATTTCTAGTAATAGTAATAAATAAATAAATAAATAAATAAAGTTTTGGGTAATGTTTAACTCGATATTTTTGCACTTTTACAATTTTTGCATATTTATTTATATGAATGGGTCATTTTTTTAGTGAATTTGGATACAAAATATTTTCACTTTCTAATGGAGAGCTTCTTGGTAAATTCACTGATAATCATAATCAAGTTGGAACTCAATGTATTTCCATGAATGAAGAACTTATTGCATTGGGTACACATAAAGGAATCATTCATGTACTTTCATTGGCAGATGAAAGAAAAATTGCACAATTTGAAGTATTTAATGATCGGGTATGTTTGTATAATAAAATAACAAGTGTAATTATTTTTAAAAGTTATTATTAATAATAACAAATTTCCCTCCAAATAAAAATAAAAAATAAGCAGATTGCAGGGATTCAACTTGTTGGTAATAACATGGTAATTTCAGTTTCATCAATAAATGGAATTATTGAAGTTTTTAATGTGAAAACTCATGAATGTATTCACAAATCCACCATCCTAAAAACATCGATTAGTTCATGTACAATTGATTATTACAGTGATGCTAAATGTGATATATTATGCATTGCACCACAAGGATCAGTTTTTCATTTAAGATGGGATTTTAATATGACATCATCAACGACAAATTTGATGGAAAATGAAGATGGTGACGAGGAAGAAAAATTAAGAGGAATATTTTCAAAGGAACCAAAGATACTTTATAAAAATGAAGATTTTCTACACAAAATATTATGTGTTGGAATCGATTCTAAATACAATCATGGAATAATTGGATCTTTACTTTCTTATCCTGCAAAAAGTAAATTATTGATTTATAATCCAAATAAAGGACCTTATGACATGGATAATAGTATTATAAAATCTTTAACCCCATCACCTTCTCCGTCTCTTTCTCCATCACTTTCATCGTCTTGTCTTCCATCACCTTCTCTCGCTTCATCACTTCTTCCATCTCCATTCCTTGCCATATCGTCGTCGTCGTCATCATCTTCATCATCTTCCTCATCTACCACAACCAACACTGCTGCTAATAGTAATAACAGTAGTTATAGTTCTAATTTTTTATTATCATCACCAGATACTTCACCATCTGTCGTTACTAGTACATCTTTGGAAAATATAATAAATACAGTATTTGTTGCATTAAGCATTGACGAGGAAAGAATCGTGGCTGGATGTTCTCGGGGGAGAATTTTTTGTTACGATTTCAACGTAAATGATGATATTAAGGATGATTATGACGACGATGATGAGAGCGTTGGTTGTAGTGGAAATGATGAAGATTATAACAGCAGTAATAGTAATGATTGTCACAAATCAAATGACACAGCTGCTTCTATTAGTAGTAGCAATAATAATAATAATAATACTTTAACAAATTATTTAACATCGTTATCAATATCAAAACCTCGCAAAAAAATAAATAATCATTTTAATGGGAAGAACAAATTTAGTAGTAATGAAAAGCCCTTTCTTTAATTGATTGGTTGTTGATTGATATTATATAATGTAATTTAATTTAATTATTTTGTAAAAATAAAGTTTAACTCGTTTACTTATGAAATTACTCCAATCCATTAATTCTTCGGGAATTTGTATTAACAACAATCATTTTATAAATTCGATTTTTAATTGATTCAGAAATCAATTCCTTGCTAATCTTTCACAATTATAAAATCCAATAACTTGTAAATTTTTACAAGTCTTTCCATAATTACACCAAAAAACGATTTGTCATTTGCATCGTGAAATTCGATTTTTGTCAAAAGATATTTTAGAGTCCAATTCGTCGAAACTTTGATTAGTGTAGTGGTTGTTGAATGTGATGGTGATGGAAATGTCGTAATTGAAGATGCCGGTCATAAATTGATTGACGACCAAAATCAATTATCTTTAAAAATGAAGGATGGTTAAAAATAAGAAAATTTATTGGATTACTATTAAATTTCTTTGAAATTATGTGAATTGATATTTTATAAAACGAATAAACGATGAAATAATCATCATAATCATCATTATAATTGTTTAATGTTAATTCCTTTTCGTCATATTTATAGAATCAAGAAATTTTGAATAATGGACGATGACCAAGTATAGGGATACCAATTCTGCACCAATGTCTATATTCACTAAAATACACGAAAATCCTGTTTTATAATTGATCGTGCCCAGTTTTTGATCTTCTTCATCTCCATGATAAATATGCAAGGTTATATTTATTAATAACTCTGGTGGGAAAAACATTGCTATTATTATTATTAGAAGAGAAATCAAAGAAATCAAAGAAAGAAAGAAAGAAAGAAATTATTCATACCTTTATTTATATTTAATAAATATATAGACTATTTATCATTATGAACTTCAATGTAAATATTTATTTGTCATTGTTGTCATAAAATGTAACTAACTGATGTTTATTTGATTTAAAAGAAACTAATCATTCATGAAAAAAAATCACTAGCACAACTATAACCGACAATGACCACATCAACAGTTTGCCTTCGATAGTAGATACAAATATTTGTAATTAATTACTGCTAACTAATGACATGAATGTTAGGATGGAAAGATAATTATTCATGGTCATGTTATTTCCAGCATTTAAAGCGGCCGGAAGAGACAAATATTTATGCGCTAATATTGCCGATATAGGAAATTCTCATTCCACCACTCAAAAGTGTCAGTATTGGGTCCTGCTTGTTCCGTGATATTTTCATCAAGATAATTATCAACCTCATTTACTTTTTCTTTTATTGCAAATGATTCGAGTAATTCATTATTTGTGTTTAATTTGAAATTTAGCTCATTGTAATTTCTTCTTTTTGGCTCATTGTCTGGGATGGGGGCTGAGGATGAGTGGCTGGCGGTTAGGTTCGTCAAATTCTGAAGGACCCAACTTGTCATGATTTGAATTTCTTCTATGTTTTCTGTATAAAATATAACGCAATTTCAAATTTATCAATATCATCTCCTTCTTCTCCTAAATCTTTTAATTTTCTTTAATGTTTCAACAATTGATAATATCGATGAAATTGTTGCATACAAAAGAACTTGTAACTTCGTCAAATGGCTCAAGAAGATGCCCATCATCCTGTCTATCATTTCTACTATCTTTATGATGTAAATGAATAACAGTATAACTCTTGTTTCAACGGAGTGACTGGACACATATTATATAAGAAAATTTCCGTTGAAACGAAATTACTAATCGCGTTTCAACGGATTTTTTATGTTTCTATAATAATAATGTGTAATGGTAACAAAGATTTTTAAAATCCATCGAAACGCGAGTTTAATTATATATTCATGTTGGAACTTCACTATTATTTTCAAGTATATTTGTAGATGAAATTTCAGGTGATTCATCATCAAATTAGACTTTTTTTTTGTACTTCTAATGTTTTATTAACAATTGGTACGCCACAAATGGCAACCCTTCGAAATATTATCATTTTATAGTATATTTTTCTAAACCATATGTGATGGGCACATGATATTTTCATTCAACCAATGACCGGTAATTCTAATATGTCCCAATTTTTACTTCCTGATGTCCAAATTCACATGAATTAATTATTAAAGGTAAAGAGATTCTCCGCTAATAACTCAAATCTGGATTAAAAATAGCATTTTTCATTTTTGTATAGCATAAGAATTTAATTATAGATCAATGTAATGTATTAGGTAATATGTATGTTAAAAAGAAATATTTAACACAAAAAAATTGATGATAATTATAAATTTATTTCATTTAAAAGAACCAATGTTTTTTTTCAAAACCGATTCACATCTTTTTATAGAAATTGCTTTCTTTATCGGGACTTCAAAAATGTAAAATAATTTAAATAATTCCTTTTCTATATTTTCTTTTTATATCTCCATAAACGGGGTTTCATTTTATATATATAATATATATAATATAGTGTAAAATTTGATTAAATCTACTATATATCATAATCAAAAAAAATGTCGTTTCACAATTTATTATCATCAGACAGAAAAAATTTTGTATTTGGAACTTATTCTGAATTACTTAATAATGCTACACAGATTGCAAATGATACTTCATCAAACACATCTTTCAGAGAAATTCAAAAGGCTACATTTTTATCATTAGTAGCTGAAAATGAATCACTTTTAAAAAATGAAAAGGAATATTGTAAAGAAAGATTTATTTGTGATTTTGAATTAGATAATGCAAATTATAAATTTGGTGAATTAAAAGAATGCCTTAATTGTAAATTAGACAGATATTCAGAAAGATTTTGTGAAAACTGTATTTGTTTACATTTACAAGAGCTTTTTAATACATGGTCATCTGGAAATGGAATCATTGATAATTTTATTCAAGAATGTCAAAAGCTCTCATCTCTTCCTACACAAATTATGGAATGGATCCCATTTGATCAATTTGAAAAAGTGGAATATTTAACTAAGTGAGGTTTTGGTACCATTTATACTGCCACATGGAGAAGAGGGCATATATCTGACTATGATGAAAATAAAAAAAAATTTATTTATCATGGATCTCAAGGTATAGCATTAAAACTACTAAATAATTCAAATGAGTTAGGGAAAAAATTTTTTGATGAGGTCAGTAGTAAATTATTTTAAATTAAAAAAAAATATTATATTAAACATTACATTAATTGACTTTCATATAATATTTCAGGCATTAAATTATTGTAAAATCAAATCTGGATTGATTGTTCCCTGTTATGGTATAACTAAATTCCCAGAAAACAGAGGCTATGCAATAGTTCTAAATTATATTCCAGAAGGAAATTTAAGAGATTATTTGCAAAAAAATCATTCAAATTTAACTTTAAAAGATAGAATTACAATATTTGAATGTTTATGTCGCTCATTATATGATATACATCAAAAAGATTTAATACATTGTGATTTACACAGTGGTAATATATTGGTCCAAGGAAATTGGTGTTTTATTACAGATTTGGGATTATGTGGACCAGTTGATGATGAGTCATCAAACAAAATATATGGAATTACATCATATATTGCACCTGAAATTTTTAGAAAAAAAAGCAAAAGCACAAAAGAATCAGATGTATATAGCATTGGAATGTTGATGTGGGAACTGTTTTCAGGATATCCACCTTTTGATGATAGAGCACATGATCATCATTTAATTATGGAAATTTGTAAAGGTTTAAGACCACCAATTTTATCAAATATGCCAAAAGAATATGCAAAAATGATGCAAAAATGTTGGGATGTTGATCCATCTAAAAGACCAACTATTGGAGAGCTTTCAGATTTTGCTGAAGATTTTGAAATAAAAGTTTATAAAATTGAATATTTAAGCGATGAAACTATAATTTCTACAAATAATAAATTACAACAAATACAAAAATCACATCCATTAGCATATCATTCAAGCAGAATATTAGATGATGATATTGCTAAATATAAAAGTTTACAACATGATTTTGAACTTGGTCCGGTATCTGAAGTAATTGAAATTGAATATAGAAGCTTACAAAATGATTTTGAACTTGCTCCAATATCTGAAGTAATTTCTGAAATTGATCATTCAAGCAGAATATTAGATGATGATATTGCTAAATATAAAAGTTTACAAGGCTTGGTCCAGTATCTAAAGTTGTTTCTGGAATTGATGATAATGAAAGTAATTAAACTTTATTAATCAACTGAAATTCATTAATTGTTAATTTTTTACTGAATTTTAATTTTCAATTAAAATTAGATTCTAGTAACAATAATAATGCCAAAAGAAATGGTGTATGAAATAGTTGATGAAATTAAGGAGACTAATGAAATGATCGTGGAATGGAATCAAGGCAACATACAATAGTGTTTAAGTAAAGAAATGAAAAATTTGTTTTGTCTTTCCTTTTTATTTATTATTTTTTATTTATAATAATTTATTTTATTAATTAAATATCATTTGAAGCAAGGATGTTATTGTTATTTAGTTTATACTGTATTTTATATCCCGGATTAAAGTTTTTTAAAAATTAATTCTAGAAATTATGATTTATTCTTTTATATAGTAAATAAATAATTCTAGGTTTAATAATTCTATCTGTATCTTTTTTTACATAAAAAACTCTAAAATTTGCTGTCTCCTTCTAAATTTCACAAATTAATTATCAATTTGCGTTGTGCGAGAAATATTTGGTTTCTCTAAAAATGCTTCACTTTCATTGCGTTGTGTTGCATTACCATGCATTGCTGCTACTATGCATTACTATGCACCATTCTTCCGATTTAGTTTTATTTCTTTATATATAAGAAAATATAAAGATGCATGTAGATATTTGATTGATCTGAGATTTTTGTTTAAAAAATTTTAAAGGATGCATTTTGAATGGTGTGTATAAAGTGTGTACTATAGTATAGTACATGCCCTATAATATACAGTCAACACCTTCGTGTGCACCCTCTCGAAATGCACGCTCACGAGTGATGGTGATATGTTTCCAAGGGGTGCACTTAGAAGAGGTTGACAGTATGTATAGTACTATACTGGAGACGTATTGCTATGTTGAACTTGGAATTTTTTTTAGTATTTCTAAACAACTTTTAAATTAGTATGCATTTTCAATAAATGGATTTATCATTCTTTTTTCAACAAATATCTCTTTTTTAATGTTAATAATTATACACACAATATAACGATTAGATATTCTCTTTCCCCAACAAATATCTCTTGTTTAATATCAGTATTATATAATTATTAACCAATACAATGAAAACCTCTGTTAATTATTTTGTTTGAAAAGAAATTAAAATGTCTCTTGATACTCAAATTTTCTTTTTTAATAAAAAATGTCTTTTATTTTTGTCTTGTCAATAGTAACAGGTACTGAATGCATAGATGAATGATGATTTCACCAAAATAACAAAGCATTTTGAATAATTCAGAAATACTAAAGAATTTTCCAATTAATCTCTTGGATCGGAACTATTCCTAAAAAAAATTTTTTAATAATCATTTATTTTACCAAATATTAATTAGACGCATTGCAACATAATAAATATGAATTTAAAAACATACAAAATTCGCTACAAGTTAGTATTTTAAATATATAACATCCGTTGTAACAAGGTCCATTATAGCAAGGTTTGACTGTACAAGAAAGAGATAACAAGCGAGAACCAAAGTAAATCTGTAAATTAATTAATAGACAAGCACATAATTACTGTGTATCAACTGATAAGAGCAGCCCAAACTTAAGCCATCATCAGCCATACTTGTTAATTAACAGAAAGGTTTTAATTTGACCAATTACCCAAGTACTGCGTTTTATTGCGTGTCATATCCTGACAAGTAGTTCGTGATTTAAAAATATGTTTTAAGACCAACATGATCTTTAAGCTAAATACCCTTTACTCGTTATTGACTTCCCAATTGAAGGTATAAACCTGAAATTACGCAGTAAGGTATAGACCTAAAGTATATTATTGTGTAAAAGAATTAACCATCATATATATATAAATTTATATGTCCATCTCCACACATTAAGATATATATTTTAAACTCGTGAACGTCTATGTTAAACTTGCAATTTCTTTTTATTTCGAGCTCAAAAGTTATGTATCAAACGACTATACTAACTTTTTCATCTTTCTATTTTAAACAAGAAAAATAATACCATCTAAAGTTTTTTAATAAGAATACTCTGCCCTTAAATAATTAAGCATGTTTATATAGAACAAACTTAATTACAGATTCATCTTTATTATCGTCAAGTGAAAGAGATCTAATGCCGCTATTCAGACTTAAAATTTTTCATTTCAAACCTTCACCTTTTTTTATTTCCATTTTTTTTATTTTTTGTTTTTCATTTTTTCTTATTAGATCTTTGAAAAATCGGCATAAAATTTTCTATATCTTCAACATCATCTTTACTGCCCAAGAAAATAGGACATTCCGGTACGATATCAAGCATTCGTTTCTACCATCTGTAGTTTTGCCACCAGCTTGTTCAGCTAAAAAGACCATTTGGAAACATTCTTACAAGATACGAAGCTTACCATTTTTTGATTTTTTGTCAGTTGGATATGCGAAGATTCCACCGTATAACAGAGTACTATGAACATCAGCAACCATTGAACCAATGTAACGAGCTGAATAAGGATCTTTACCTTCTGGCGGATATTGAAATATTTCTTGCATGGTTCATACCAATATTTTTCATTTCCCTCATTTATTGAATATATTTTTCCACGAGACATATAGATTTCTGATTTGTTTTAATTGAGCGAGGAAATAAGTAAATCAACTAACTGGATGGATAGATTAATTAGATGTATTAATGTTTACATTAGGATGAGTAAGAATAAATTTTCCAATTGCCTAAAAAGATAAAAAAAATAAAATCATATGTAATTGTCAACAAAATTAATGATTATTAATTAATTGTCCTTACGTCAAATAGTTACTACCAGCGTCGGATCAAATACCGTCAACAATGATTGAATATTCGTCCTTCCGAAACCATTTACAGCAAACTTTACCAGATGAAAAAAATGTATCAACAAAATCTCATTGGAAATCACATCCCTATTTTTTTTTGTTCTTTACCTGAAATATTTGTTGAATCACCTGCAAGTCCAATTCTGAATTATTTGGGAAGGGAAAAGAAGGTAATTCTTTGGTTTCAATTCATAAATTACATATGATATATATATATCAATTATTGACAATTATTATTATTAATTACTATTAATTGCTGTTATTTATTACTTACAAATTCAAAAGTCTAGCTTTTCTAACCTTAGTAGCTACAAATCTACAACCAAGTTGAATTGCATTTAACAATGTTGTCAAATCGCCACCTGTATCTTTATGTTTATGTTGTTCATCAAGAACATGTCTTGTCAATGTGATAATATCAGTTGTAACCTTTACTTCGGCTGAACTATTTATTTTATATTTACTTGATTTGTTTGTATTGCAAACACATGCACGATTATTTCCTCCATATTTATTTAAAAAAAAAAAAATGTCTCAACAAGTAAAAAAAAGCGCGGATTCTCCAGATAGCAATAATAATAATCATGATAAAAACAACGTTTCAGAATCTGAAGGACCAATAGCATCAACAGTGGTGGTAAAAAATGGAGTTTATAAGAGTGAACAAATCGAAGATCGTAAAAGTGTATTTATAGCATATGCAAAACGCGTAGAAAATAAGCAACAAGTCGAACTGTTTAAGGATGAAATGGAAAGAGAAAATAATACTGCAACACATAACATCATAGCATATAGAATAATGAAAGACAATGATGGAGCAACAATTGAAGGTTAATAATAATTTTTTTTTGTTGGGAATTAGAGAACTTTGTGTGCATAGCGCATAAAGAAAAATAATAATTATAAAGTATAAATTTTTATTTTTATTTTTATTTTAGAATTTATTGATGATGGTGAAAAATATGCAGGAAACCGAGTTTTAAATTTATTAAAATCATTGGATGTTAAAAATGTGGTAATTATAGTTTCTAGATGGTATGGAGGAGTTATGCTTGGTCCGGCACGTTTTGATCATATCGAGAAATGTGCGAGAGAAGTATTAGATAAAGGTAATTTTGTAACTGGTAAACGAACTACTCCTGTTAGGGGTGGTTCATCAACTGGTAAGATAATCGTTAATGGATGTCAGGTAAATGTCTCGATTAATGATCTTTATAATTTTTAGAAAAAAAAAAAAAAATAATCTTTTTGCAAAAAAAATTATTAATATTGAAGAGAGGTAATCCAATACTTCAACATATTTGTAATGTTACTTGGGAATATGGTGAATGTATACCAGATTATGTTCTAGGACAAACAACGTGTGCTTTATTTCTAAGGTGAGATATAACATCAATTGATAATCATAATGATGACAATGATGATTATTATTAATACAATAATATTAATATTACTGTTGTTTTTTAGCCTTAGATATCATCGACTTCATCCTGAATATATTTATAATAGAATTCAACAATTAAAATACAAATATCTATTAAGAATACTTTTGGTTTTAGTTGATATAGTATAGTATTATTATTTCATTTCACTAATTAATTCATTCATTGGTTTTAGAGAGAGTTGGGGCTTGCTAGGAAATTGGCAACCAAAATGAGATTTTTTTTGCTTAATGTTATTATATTTTTTGTCCTGCTAAATTTTCTTTTCTTTTTTTTTATATGATGTAAATAGGATTCTCATCAAGATTCTATTCGTGAACTTAGCAAAGTTTGTGTAATTAATAATTTTACTGTGATATTAGCTTGGAGGTAAAAAATTGAAATTAATTAATTATGAATGATTGATCTTGGATTAAATAAAAATAAATTTATTTTTTTTCCAAAAAAATTAACAATTTAAAAAGTCAAGAAGAAGCAGGAAGATACCTCGAAACTTATAAATCATTTGAGTATAAGCCACCAGATATGATTATGGAAAAAGTTCAAGATGATTATTTGTCAAGGGTAATTATATCTAATGTTAATACAGTTGGTATTAATATATTATTTAATATTAATTTATTGTTAATTTATTATTGATAGTTAACTCATTCCATGACGCAAATAAAATCAGTTAATAAAACAGATGTGATAACACTTGCTTCATCAGCACGTGTAAGGATTTTTCTTTTTTTTATAAAAAGTTAAAATATAAATACTATTTGATTTTTATATTAATGAATGAATTAATTGGTTTGACGTTGGTGGTGGTAATCATAGTCATTGAAAAGGTTGATGTCAATGCCATCTGATGAAATTGGATTGTGTCCAGGAATTGGTGAACAAAAGGTAATAATAAATTAACTGGCAAAATGAGGAAGGAATTAATATATTTATTTTACTTTATTTATATATTTTTTTATTTTTAGGTCAAAAGAATTTTTGAGACATTTAATGAACCATTTTCACTAAGTAAAAAGAAGAAAAATTGAAATTTAATTGTACATTTATATATTAAATAATTAATTTAATTAGAAATATTTAATTTAAATTTAAACCAAAATCTTAAATGTTATCATATATAAATTATAATTTTCTTTTAATAACCATTGAAACCACTCGGATTTACCACCACATTTGGTGGTGATTTTAAACAGGTTGGCATTGGAAATGGATCGTAATTAAAAAGGAGGGCACAAATTACTATTCCACATACCGGTCTATATAATTTATGCAACCTCTCATTATATTAATTATCATAAGAAAATTAATTAATAACCAGAAATCCCATTTTAATTGAAAATAAAGCTACATTCACATTATGGGCTAAATGAAAGAGAATGGAAAAGTAAAAAGTGAGATACACATCTAAACTCGATAAGTCGGACAATTTATTTATATTAATAAAGTACTTTAAACAATTGATTGCTGCGTCCGACTTATCGAGTTTAGATGTGTACAACTAAATTGATTATAATTAATAAATTATAATTTAGTGTTATTAACTCCATTACATATTATTATTATTATTATTATTATTATTATATTTAAAAAAATATAATAGTATAACAGTTGATTTAATACAATTAAAAATCATCAATTATCTAGGTGTATATATATATATTATTTATTACATAATATTACTAATACACATTTCTTTTCCAAAAAAATATTAAAATTTTGGGGTGGGGTGTTTGGATATGAAATTCTGATTGGCTAATTTGAATTTCGCATGTGTAAATTACAATATTTCATTTTCACGCACAACAATTGTTACGCGACTATTATTATTATTATTTATTTTAACGTGCAGTTTTTTATCATTTTTTCTTTTCCAAAAATGTAGAAAGAATTGTTACATAAAAATAAATTTGGATGATCGACATAATATGGCCTACGTTTATTCGTAGTGTTAAGAATTAAAAAATGCGATCCATATTAAATAACATTCAGTAAATTAATTGTATAACAATGAAAATTGTGTTTTAATATTCTTCAAGTTATCAGCGATATATTATTATTATAATGATCAATCATTGGTTGAATAAGTATATTTATATGTTGAACCAGAATAAAAAATAATTTTTTTTTAATGTTAGATGAATTAAATGTTGAAGATGTTCATGAATCTGGAGTAGACGCTGATATCAATATCATAATAAATTGGAATCTTTTGGGCAATGTTGGGAACAATTTAATATTTTTGAAGATGATATTATCAGTGTTAGATCTTTGTGGATGAGAGATCACAAAATTGTAAATTGAAGATATATTGATTCTGATGCTGGTATTTTAAAATCAACCTTCAATGTTGATAATATTGCAAATGATACAAATGGAAAACTTCAAAATAATTTTAATGTTTTAATGAAATCAAGTAAATTAGAAATTCCTTATAGAATGAATAAAAGACAATTAAAACAAATTTCAACGTATATTTGATAAATATATTGTAATTCTGAATGGTAAAAAAGAATCACCACATACATTACCTGCATCTTTAAAATGATTTTGGTCATGAAAAAAAAAAATAGGCCCTAATTTAATGTTAAATGGTTGTTGAGTCGGTTTAAAAACCGTGCAGTCTGTCGATCATATACTTAAATGCGATTGGTCAATTTTTAACAACTGTGGTTGATAAATATGATTGGTTAATTTTAATAACCGCGATTTTAGTACAATCGATATAATTTATTAAATTAAAATTAAAACCCAGATTGATTGATTATCTATCATTTAAAATGATTCAATCGATGGTTCAACCATATTTGGCTTGGTTTAGCCGTTGAGTAAACTGTTTAAACATCCCTAAATTTAATATTTAATTAATTAATAAAACCCCCATTATTTTATGTGTAGATCAGTCGATAAACCATAATAATTTTCTTTAAATTTTATATTTATTGGCTGAAATTTTTTACGCGTGATAAATTTTAAAAACTCAATCTTTTATGTTGTGAAACATACGATAAAAATGGGCGCCGTTTTTTTCACAGGTAATAATAATATTTGTTTTACTTCACTTCAATTTGGACAATTTGATCAATTAGAAGTAAAACTTTAAAGGTTTCAGAGATCTACACACATCAGAATTGTTCCCTTACTTTTTTATAAGTATCGTTGTGAAAATTAACTGTAATGTTAAGAATGATTGAATATTCTTATGATCAACTCTTTTATTACAATAATAATAGGTAGTGAGTGGTAAAATTTTATTTTTACATTCTCATTTATATGGTAATATACTTTAGAAAGAAGTATTTAATTTTATAATTTATATAAATTATATAATTCTTTTTTATAGCACATAATGTAAGAAGGTAATGTAATAGAAAGATTACATGTGTTTTCTTGTATATATATAGGTTATTTATATTATTTAAAAATAGGAAGGCAACAAGTATTGACAAACCTACTAGACAACGAGTAGTAAAAATGATTTAATGGTGAAGACAAAGAGTAGGTAAAAGAGAAGATATTAAGACTACTGTCCAACAATTAAAGAAATAAAATAAATATGACATCAAGAAATAATAACGAAGACAAATAAATAATAAATAATCATATTAATATATTTATTTAGAATGTCATATATAAAAATTTGAATAATAGAATCATCGAGCCAATAAAATTTGTGACAATTGGAAATAAATGATCATCATAATTTAGCCAATGCAGGCAATGAGATCAAATGTTCAGTAATTTTTTGAGTAACGTAATAAAGTTTAATTTAACTTCAAAAACCACGTGACCAAAAATGGTAATTCTAGACTATAAATATCAACCAATCAATTTAAACAATGTATTACGTAACACTAAACTCTGCCGTTTTCCTTTTATAATAAATATTTTTATTATACATGTAGTTCCAATCGAATGTTTCTTTTCTACAACAAACTGTTCAAATTTTTTTTTCTAAAAAAAATTTTTTACTTGTAAAAAAATAAAGAAGCTAAATCCAAAAAATTCAAAAAAAAAGGAGAAGAAAGAGAAGAAAGAAAGAGTGGGAGGGAAAAAAAAAAGAAATTCGTAAATTAGTAAAGGTTTTGTATTTTATATTATTTCCGACATTAAGAAAAAAGATATTAATTATTCACAAAATAATATATATGACATTAGAGCAATTTATTAATAAAAAAGTAATAATAATATTTATTAATATATTTTTTAGGATTTAAAATTGAATATTTTTAAAAAAAATTTTCACAGGCAAAACATTTAAAAAAAAATTTATTTTTATTCAAGGTATCTTACTTTATTTTAATAACTTTATTTTTTTATTTTAAAAATAGTTATTAATATATTTATACATTTTTTTAAAAAATTAAATATTGATAATTAAAGAAAAAAGATAAAAATGGGAGGAAAGAATAGTTATGAAATTGATATGGTTGATTCAGAAGATGGTTATGCGGCAACTAGAGGTGATTGTTCAGAAACAGAAAAAGATGAATATTTAAGACGTAGAAATGAGGAAAAAGAAGAATCATCCAGCAGCAGCAGCAGCAGCAGCAGCAACAACAACAACATTATCAACATTAATAGTAATAATAACAATGAAAATATAAAAAAATCTATTAATTCAAATGGTAATAGTAATGGTTGTGGCAACAACATGAAACGCATGAGATCTAATTCTTCATTTGATGGTTATGATGATTTTTATGATGTTTCTGAATTAAGTTCTGTTGATTCTAATGAAGATTCTAGTAGTAGTAGCAGTAATAGTAGTAATAGTAGTGATGATGATGATGATAATGATATTACTAATAGTAATAGTGATGATGATGATGATATTATTAATAGTGATAGTAATGGTAGTGGTAGTGGTAGTAGTGATTATGATGATGATGACGACGATGACGATGATTATGATTATCATCGTTTTAATAGGACAAGTAATAGTAAGAATAATAAAAATAAGAACTCGCAACCAAAAAAACGCGGAAGACCTTCTAAAAGAATTTCATTATCAAAAACAAGTGACGAAGAATATATTCCTAATAAAGATATTAAACAGACAACTAATAACAATAGTAACAATTATTATTATTACAATAATAAGATTAGTGGCAATAATAAAACAAAAGGAAGTAGAAGACCTGGTAGACCGGCAGGTCAAAAGAAACAACAAGAACTACAGCTTGGTAGAAATAAATCTAATAATAGTGCTTCAAAAAAACAAAATTATAAGGACAATTATTATATAAATAGTATAAACAATGACAATAACATGAATTATAGCACTACTGCTAATAATAATAATAATAACAATAATAATAATCAAAGACCTACTAGTAAAAAAAAAGGTATCGACGAAAATGATGTATTAGCAAGAGATAGAGCAGGTCAAACTAATTTACATAAAGCTTGTCAGTCTGGGAATATGGAAAGGACGAAGGATTTAATAAAAAGAGGGTCAGATATAAATGCTCGTGATCATGCAGGTTGGACTTCTCTTCATGAAGCATCTCTTAACGGCCATTTGGAAATTGTATATTATCTTTTAGAAAATGGTGCTGATGCTAATGCTGCATCACTTGATGATTGTGATACTCCACTTCATGACGCGTGCGCTAAAGGTCATTATGATGTTGTATGTGCATTATTAGAATATGGTGCTGATCCCGATAAAGCAAATGCAAAAGAAGAAAAACCTGAGGATCATTCTAGCGAGGAAAGTATCATTAAATTATTAAAAACTCCAGTAGAATATGTAAAAATACCTGAAATCATACATTATAATTCATCACAAAGATACTCACCTTCTTTATATATAACGGGTGAAGGTATTTATTGATCGTTATTATTAATTTTTAACAAATTAAATTATTTAATTGTTTATTTATTACTTTTATTATTTAATTTTTATAAGATTTTGATAGCAGAAGAACGTCATTGATTTCGGGTAAACGTGGTAGACCTAGAATTAAACAAGAAGATATCAAAGATAGTGGTTTATCTAAAAGATCTGAAAATCAAAAAACTACTCGTAGAAGAGTCTCACTCCGAGATAGTAAAATTCGTGAAGGTGATTTACATAATAATGGTGCAAGGGCAATTGTTTCTGCTAACGATGTTCTTAGGATGGATCTTAAAAGTAGAGACTCATCCGGACGTAGTAACCTTCATATTCATGCCAAAAGAGGTAATGCAGAAATGGTTGCAAACATGATTGAGGCAGGTGCTATGATCAACGGAACTGACAATCATGGCCGTACTCCATTACACGAAGCTGCATCAGAGGGTCATAACACAACAATGGAAATATTACTTGCTTTTGGTGCAGATATAAACGTCAAAGATAAAAAATTAAATACACCGCTTCATGATGCTGCTCATAAAGGTCATATCGAAGTTGTAAAAATACTGTTACAAAACAACGCTCAACCTGATGGTAAAAATATTGATGGTAAAACACCTTTGGATTTGGCTAGGCGCAGAAAAGACATTGTTGAGTTGTTATGTGAAGTTCTTGATTTGAATCCAAAAGACTACTTAATTCCAACCAGTTGTAATAATAATAACATTATTATTAGTGATAATAGTATTGGTGGTGTTAGTAGTTGCAATAGTCGCAGTAGTAGTATTAGTGCTAGTAGTAGTAGGAGTAGTAGGAGTAGTAGGAGTAGTAGGAGTAGTAGGAATAATAATTATAATTATAATATTAGTAATTGTAATAATAACAACAATGATAATTATGATGATAAAAGGAAAATTACATCTAAAATAAAATTAGAATCATCTGATTGTGAAGCTATGTTGATAGATGATGATGATGATGATGGCAATAATTCACCACAAGAATTTGATGAACTTGCAATTAGTCCACCGCGAGATTCAATGGAAATTCAAACACCAGATTATTTAAGAATAGAATTTGCAGATAAATATATAGGACCGTTGTACACAGTTCAATTGGATACCACAAGCACCGGATATCCACTTACCACACCTACGATTCCTCCGACAGCAACTTTATTTGTGGTTGATTTACAGGTGGAATTGTTTTTGCAATGGAAAGTAAATTCTTTAACAACATCACAACCAAATCTTACCAGAAGACTCATCACAACAATAGAAAAAGAACGACTCTGGCCATTGTTACGATCCATAGTATGGGCACCACCAAAATCTATTCGTCCTTCTGAAATGGGAATACTGGAAGATGCTAGAAAAATAAAATTTTTAGAATATCAAATGTATTTTGTAAAGGTTAGTATTTAAATATTGTATGTAGCTATGAAATAAATAAATAAATAATCTTCTAATAATACTTGTTTACTTGATTTAAATAGTATGAAGAAGTTCTTAAGTTAATGGAAATTCATTTCAAAAATTCATTTACCAAATCCATTTCAACTATGGCATTGGATATTTCAGACTATCCAAATCTAGATGTAGCTCTTTGTCATCATTATAATGATCGTAACAATAATAATAATCATAATCAAAATCATAATCATCTTTATAATCATCGTCAACTAGATAATAATAATGATGATGAAAAAATTAACAGCAAGAATAATTCAATGGAATTAGACGATTTTTCATCTAAATTACCACTTACACCTACTTCACCAACTACACCACTTCTTAATTCTCAATGGGGAGTTACAACTAATTCTCCGCCTCTTATAACAGCTTCTACTACTACCACCACTGCTTTATTTATAAAAAAGGAACATAATGGAAAATTTAGAGACAATAATAATATTAGCAATACAAAACAATTAAAAGGGTTGAGCTGAGTAATATTATTATTATATCGTATTTATTGACTTTATTATTTATTATTTATTTATTTTCTAATAACAAAATCATCCATTGACAATTCACCCAACATCATAACTTCTAAATTAATTTTTTAAAAAAAAATTTTAATCTAGGATATAAAATATAGTATAAAAAGAAATCAAATAATAACTACCTTCAGTTGTAACAAAATCCTTGACTTTAATTAAATAAAAAGGAAACTTAAAATAAATTTAAAATTAAAAATTTAACAATTAGTGAATTTTAGTTCATCAATTTAATTACTTTCATTATCATCAATTTCAGAAACAACTTTAGATACTGGACCAAGTTCAGAATCTTGTAAACTTTTATATTTAGCATTACCATCTAATATCTTGTTTGAATGTTCAATCAATTACTTCAGATACTTATTCAAGTTCGACATCATTTGTAAACTTTTATATTTGGTAATATAATCATCTAATATTCTGCTTGAATGATCAATTACTTCAGATACTGGCAAGTTCAAAATCATCTTGTAAACTTTTATATTTGGTAATATCGTCATCTAACATTCTGCTTGAATGATATGCCAATGGATGTATACATTTGTCGTGATTTATTTTACAGTTTCATCTAGTGATTGATTCATTCATACGGGCTGAAATCGAACATTTACATAATAATAAAGTGTGATAATTCCGAATTCTGTGAGACAAAATTGTTTTTAAAAATTTTTTATTTTATTTTATTTTCATTTTTAAACCAATAAGCAACTATATATATGTTTTTCCTATGTTATATATGTTTTCCAATCCTATGTAAGTTGTGAGGATCTATCTAATACGAATAAAAAAAAGTGCTAAAAAGATTTTTTTTTTTACAATCCAAAATTTGTTTCCATTTACTATTTTATGAATGAAATCGTTAATATTTGGAGGAGTTTTTATTACTATATAGTTTGTTAATATTAATTATATAAATTGTAAAGGTAAATTAAGTATAGTGATTATTTTTGTATGTCACAACTATAGTCACAACCAGTATCCTTAAAATGAAGATTAATATCTACATGTAAAAAATCATTCCTTGCACTTGATGAAGAAATGTTGCTAACTCCAATTATATTAGAATCATTTGAAATTACAGTGAACTGTATTTTATTTTCTGATAAATATGTTGTTTTACAGCAAACAGAAAATTTTGACAAAATAGTTTGAACTTCATAATTGTTGGGAATTTTATATTTTTTACAGTAAATATTGTATTTTCTGGATAGTATCCAAGAGATAAGATAGTATATGTTTTATATTTCTTTAAGTTGGAAATTAAAGTTGCTTCAATAGTGGGATTGTTAGGATAGTTATGTAAAAAGGTACGAGAGCTTGTAGAAATCATAATATTTTTAAAAGTTATATTTATATGACGTGTAATAGGTAGTGATTGACCATAAACAATGGTAAAATAACAATGATCCCGTTTGTTAAACCTTTCACTGGTATTGAACCAGTGATCAACTAAACCTACTTGGTTTTACGCGTTATTTATTTTTGATGTTAATATAGAATTAAAAATAATAACAATAAGATTATTTAAATGATCAACATCATCTTTAACTTTCTCATTACAAAAAAAAAATTCAATCAGTTTTAAATAAATATATATATAGTTTGAAAAGAAAGAACATTAATTTTTTTTTCAAAATGACTAGTAACGTCCTATTAATTTTTTTATACATAGATTTTTTTTTGTAAGGCGTTTTTACTTCAATAAACAAATAGAACATTCTATTTATAAACAAAGCTTATCAGAGGCAATAAATAGTAATAAAAATAATGAGATAATTTTATTTTTATTTTTTAAAAAAATATAATGGAAAAAATATAAAAAAGAATTGGCTGAATTCTGGTCCTTAATCAACAAAAACAATATTTCAAGAACCTGCACTACATATAAAAAATTAAACTTTTTGGAAAAGCATATAATTCAATATGGGAACCAAATTAATTTAAGGAATAATGTTTTAGAAAACTTGATAGAATTTGTAAAAAAGTATGAATTATCTAACATGATTGAATATAAAATTTGTTTAATTGATGAATATGAAAAGAAATACATTAGAAGAAGTAAAAAAGTTATTTTATTAAATTAATTAGCAAAATTAATTAATTCGCAGATCATTTATCAACCAGGGGGCTTTAATAGAAAATGCGGGGTACATTTACTAATTTAAAAAAGGAAAATAATTGACCATGTTTGTAAAATGGTTATATATACAACGAACAGGAGAGAACGTCCTATATAAGGAATGGATTTTCACAATTGATTTCAATTTTTTTTATACAGTTTAAAATAC